AGTCTTCTCTTCTCCAGACTAACTAAGCCCAGTTCCCTCAGCCTTTCCTTATGAGCCATGGTCCCCAGCCCCCTAACCATTTTTATTGGCCTCCAGTAGACTCCCTCCAATTTGTCCACGTTGTTTCTGCAGTGGGGAGCCCAAAATCTGACAGTACTCCAGATGTGGCCTCACTGGTGCTAAATAGAGAGAAATAATCACTTCTCTCAATTTGCTAACAGCACTCCTATTAATGCAGCCAGTGTGCTATTAGCCTTCTTCACAAGTGCACACTGTTGGCTCATATTCAGCTTATTGTCCACTGTAACCCCCCCACGGTCCTGAGCTGCTCCTTAGCCAGTCAGTCAGAACCCAGTTTGAAAACTACTACTCTAATGGAATGATTCCCAACCAGGGTGCCCTGGGCTGCCACCAGATCCTTTGAAGAGTGCCAAGGAGATAAGCAAATAAGCTAAACAGAAAAGCCAGGATGGCTTGTTCCTTCGATCCCCTAACCCTACTACCAGGAAACTACTACTCCCCTGCATAAGGAGGCAAGCAATGTAATAAGTTGGTTTTTCAAATGGGGTGCTACCTGCTTCACAGAAGTTACAGATGGAATCTTGAGTCCAGGGACGGAGTCCTTGAGTCTAAAAAGGTTGAGAACCGCTGCTCTGGTGGCACAGGCCTTCAGGGGAAGCCCACTGGGCAGAACCAGGTGGGGCACTGGTGTACTTGCACCTCCATTTGATTTCTGCTCCACCTACAGTTTAAAACCAACTGCCTGGCGGTGGTAACAGCATCTCTAGGCAGGCAGTGCTGAGTAAGTCATGTGACATCATGCCTTATTATCATCTACCCGATCCCTTCGAAACTCTTCACTCCCAGGTGTTAATGCCTGCACCTTCTGTTGTTCTGATCTGGACATCGCATCCATCACGCTATACTTTGCTGTACCACATTGCTCTCAGGGGCTGCTCCTACCACTGCTTTTAACTCCTTCCAACCAAGCTACACTGCTTTTGGCACCCATCTTAAACTCCATGGCACAGCCTGAGGCCCTGAGCCTACTAGTGAAGCTGCTCGATTATTCTGAACTGGAGACAAATGGGTGCTGTATTGCCTGTGGCCCTGCACACCCCCCTCAGGCCTAGGTCCCCTTTAAAAAGGTGTCTGTTTCTTTTTCAGGGAGACAACTACACCCAGTGAGGCACCAGCTCATATCAATGCTAATAACCAGGGACAGGTCCAGCAGAGCATCCTCCCCGCGCAACTGCCCCCAGCAGCAGGGGCAGGGGGCTCTTACGCATGCGGCAAGGCGAGCCGGAGCCAGTGAAGAAACGTCCTCCCGCGCATGCGCCACGGCGAGCCGGGACTGGGGAGGGGTGTCCTCCCGCGCATGCGCCACACGAGCCGGGACCAGTGCCCACCCCCCGGTCTTACCTGCAGCGGTCGCACTCAGGCCTTCGGGGGCAGCGCTCTACGGGTAGTGCCCACAGGCCCCCGCAGCCATCGCCATCGCTTTCCTCCTCTTCCTCCGCCGTGGGCCGCTCTGTAGCCTCCTGGGCCGCCACCGGCCCTTCGCGGGCCGCAGCCGGGCTCCGCTCCATGTCGTCGGGCGGGAGGCGGCCGCGCGGGGGCGCCAGAGGCTGCGGAGCGCCGGCTAGGCCGAGTCACGTGGTCAGGGAGACGCTTTTCAGCCCCAGCCCCTGCCCCTCGTGTGGGCCCCGCCTTCACGGCTGATCCACCAATCAGGGCGCCGTGGTGCGGGGCGAGTTGCGCCAGAATGCTGCGGAGCAAGGCGCGTGTGCGTAGGGTCTGTCTCTGCTGACGCGCCGCGTTGCCTTGTGACGCGCGTGACGTTAGGATGTTGCGTTCTGCCTGAGCTGTAGTGGTGGCACGCAGATACACCGCGCGCACACGCTGGCTTGTCGCAGGATTTGGTGTCCTTGGACTCCAGTGTACGTGGCCCTTAGTGGATCCCCACATCTATGCTCTGTGCTGCTTCCTAGCCCTGCAGACCCTGCCCAGGATGAGCCCTCGGGATCCAGGTGCATTTGCCACCCCTGCCGCAGTTAATCAGGCAGAAGGGACAGCAGATGGCATCTTAAGGCACATCTACAAATGCATTAGTGCTCTTTAGTTAATACAAATTGCATCTAGTACCTCCATTGTGAAATATTAGGAAAATGTACATTAGCCTGCCTTTAAGTGCATTTACTAAAAAGGGTTTTTAAGTGATGCTTAATGTGCTTTAGCTTATTTTAAGGAAACTAAAAAATAATTTTTTTGGCAAAAATCTTGGTGGTATAATAAAAGATATCATCTCTGTCCATACACCCTGACTGCTTGTAGCTTATTTTAATGCACATTCACTAAATAGCAGGTTTTTCAGTGATGCTTTAATGAGCATTAAAATGGGCTAATGCATGTTGAAGTGCCTATGTAGCTACGTTAGAGACTAGTGGTTTCTGAGAGGCCAGAGCTTTTGTCGGCAATGGCCTGTTTCATTTCATGGTGTCTGGTGCAACAGGCTGTCACTTCCCAAAGCTCTTACCTTCCAAATGAGTTAGTCAGTCTCTAAGGTGCTGCCTTGCCCTGCCTTCTTCGTGATTGCAGACTACCACACCTAACTCCCCATTTTTGTAGCACGTTCAGAAATGCTCACACTGTTTGAATAAATGCATGCTTTGTGTAAATGGTTAGACTTTTTTGCCACCCCAGAGCTATGCACGCAACTGTAATTCAAGTTACTGTTAACACTAATGTGAACAAGTCCCAGAGGTTTATTCTCTTCTTTAGGGTAAAGCATGAAGCCTATGTACTCCAGAATAAATGTTTGAGGAAGTATATTTTGTTGTCTTCTTAAAAAGCATCAATGAATTATTATTAGCAATCTGTTCAGTCTAGCTTTTAACAATACGTTTAACATAAACCTAACCAGTGAGCTTAAAACCTAGTAAGACTCTGTAATAGCAAAGTGTAACCACTGTACTGAGTGGAGTAAGGTTTCTACCACTCTGTGGTGCTGCTGTCTTTCCATTGGCTTCTGTGAGCTGTTGGTGCTTTCCCAGGGTGCACTTTATGCTCGGGTGGTACCGTTTTTCAGGAGGAGCTAGGAGGAGGTGCCTGGAGTCTGCAGAGCTGCCTATGTTCTGACAGACTGTTGTCTGCTGACAGCCTCCGTCAGCAGGGCCAGGTAACCCAATACCTTATGTTTAAAGAACAACTTGCATGAGGTAAGCCTGTTCATGAGTTGGTTCAGAATCCAGGCAAAATGGAAAGCACTTTGGGTTTTTTTTATTACTAAATATTTGGATAATTTCAGCTGCCATTGTTAAATTACATAATCCATAACAGGTATGGACACACAGAACAGGCCAGTATAAATGCAGTTTAAACCTGAAGCAGACAGATGGACAAGCCTGTTAAACTGGTTTAAAGTTGCTCAAAACAGTTCAAAAGTGTACGTGGAAAATGAAGGTCATCCAGGCATCCTACATTGCATCACTCCAACATTCGTTTGCACGCCTCCCTGCTACCAATCCCGCTGTACCATCTGCACCAAGTGGTGCTTGTACCTATTGGGAATTACATGTCCAAATGGTCCTAGCATAAACAAGTCACCAGCTATATGCTAAAATAGCTTTCCATGTGTGTGCCCACCCACAGACCCATAGATATGCATATGGAAAGTTTCTTAAATAATGACATAACCATTATGTCCATGGATTATAGAACTGAAATTATAATGTGAAAATTACAGTTTACCTTAGAGAAAATCTCTACTTAAAATGTCCTTTTCTGAAGTCAGTGACTTTAGATATGCTGTGTAATTGTGGAATTTTTTGGCTTTCCACCCAAATAAAAGCATTCCAGTAATTTAACTGTAATTTACAAAGTGGAATGAATTCCAGCTTAAAAATGCTAGGGAGGAAAAAGAATTATTTAAGATAAAGGACAATGTTGACACAGGAACAGATGGGTACCAATTAGCTGTGAAAAAGTGTAGGTTAGAATTAGAATAAGGTTTTTAACTATTAGATCAGTGAGGTCCTGAAGCAGCCTCCCAATAGCAGTAAGGAGGGCAAATACCTAACTAGATGTTTAAGAAAGATCTGGGTAAGACTGTGAAAGGGTTTTATAATGTGATGGCAGAAGAGTGAACTTCATGAGGTAGGCGGTCTGTTCCCAACTACTAGATTTTAATTGCTATGAGAATTTTAAGGTGATGGGTGATTGGCCCAGGAAGAAGGTAGGACTGAGTTATTGCTCAGCCTGCCAAGACTTAAATGTTTGGAAATAAGTGCACACAGTACTATTGCAGTAATACTAAAATAAGAAATAATTAGTTTATGTAATATATATTTGATTTTTTCAGGAGATGTGATGTTATAACCACTCACAATTGGCTGTATTGTACAGGTAAGCCATAAAAATGGTAATTGCTTCATTGCAAAATAAGGCATATTTCAGCCAAAGTTGACAAGTGGATCTTTGCTAGTACATGATCACGTCGATTGTTTTGAGCATTTGAGTACAAGGCTCTAATTGTGAAATTGTGTACCTCAAGTGTAACTAATTGTCTAAATAGCTGAATTTGATTAAACCATGAAAAGTTTGCATTAAAAATCAGTTAAGTCTCAAAATCTACCGCCCCACCCTCCCAATTTATACATGAAGAATTACTCAGGTAAATAGTCCAGAGTACAAAGTTACTTGCATAATTTTTTTTAGAGCTGGTGTTCTCTTTTGTGTATTAATTCTCACTAACAGATCTTGCTGTTAGTGTAGCATTATTCCCTTTAATTTTCACCCTTTTGCAGTTCACCAGTATATGGGTATTATATTTCGTGTGAGATTTCCCCTTTTTGGGGAGTTGCACGATCACAGGTTTAGTGACTAGCTGTAGTATCATTTTACCTCGGAAAGTCTGTTAATCATGTGGAAAGCACCCTTCCTTTCCAAACCCACTCTCTTCTGCATTTTTGTTGTGTTCTTTTCTATAAAAAGCTAGAGCTACTAAGCAAAAAGGACATAACCCCCCTTGCTGTTACTACAAATATTCCCAGAAAAATCCAAAAGAAAATTCAAATGCACTGTGCATTTTTTAGGAGGTGGAAGGCATTAGATAAAAGAGAACCATGCCAAAAATGTCACAATGAAGTGAGAAATCACCTAACATAGTCTTAGCAGGATGATTCTGAATAGCAATTTAACTCTCTCCAAGCTACAGGTCAACAGCAGCTTGTCAGATTCTCACCAATGTTTGCCATTCGGATTACAAAACAAAAAGGTGCATTTTTTTTCTAGGACTACAATGTTCAGGAAATGAAGCAGAGGGATAGTTTATTTAAAGTCTTTCGTTTGTCTCTTCCTCAGTTGTTTTGTTTTGGGGGGTTTTTTAATGCCTGGTATCCTGGTATGGAAGCAATTCCTTCGCCCTTGTATACATGGGCTCCTTATCCACATTCCATGTTCTTTTTTTTTCTTTTTTTTTTCTATTTTGAATTTTGCTTTTCTTGCTAGATGATTGATAAGAATTTTAAATCAGCCAGCGAAGAGAGATATGGGTAGGGACCTACCGAATTCATGGCAAAAGTGGGCTGCATGGCAGCTCTTTTAATCTTGCAGGTTCCCCCGTTCTCCCTCCCCCTCTGTTGCTGATTGGTTGAAGGGCCCCAGGGCCCTGCTGCTTGCTGCTGGCCAGCTGGGAGATAAAAACGGCGCCATATCTAAGACTGCAGTTTTTATCTCCCTGCTGATCAGGAGTGAGCAGTGGTGCCCCTCCACCAATTAGCAGGGACGGGGATGCACAGGGGAACCTGCAGAATTAAAGGAGCTGCTGCACAGCTCACTTCTGCCATGAATTCGGTTGGTCCCTATGTATGTGTCAAAGCAGTTCTTGTAGTGGCACTCACAAGGCAAAAGTCATCCTTCTTGAATCAATCTAATTTTGGTTTTGTTCTCAACATAGTTGTATTAGTAGCAGTAGGTATCTGTCTGTCTCACGAAACAATAGAATTATACCAAATGAGGCATCAGCTCGCTTAACATAATCCTCACTTGAAAATGAAGTGAAGCTGGAGTGACGGTATATTGGATATCATTCTGAGCAGATGCTATATTCTGTCTGAAAATTATTGTTACAGATCCCTTCTGTACTGCAGACTTAAGTGTTACTTACCATAAATGCTCCATGAGTGTAGAGACAGCAAAACATTCTGTTACTCTTTACTTCCAGTTGATTATACACATTAATATGGGAGTTTTTCTGTGAGTACAGAGACAAGGTTTGTACTTTGAAGTGAGGAGGCAAGATCCCTGTACAAAGTTGCTTTCCAGCTCCTCCCTTCTTCTGTCCTCAATTGCCTCACCTCCCAAAATAGACTGTAGGTGAAATCCTGCCCTAATGTGAATGTTATTATTGACTTCAATGATGCCAGTATTTCACCCTCACTATTTACTCACAGCATGACTCAACTTTTATTACTAAAGGGAATTATATCAGACATTGGTTGTGGACTTCTGGTGGTTTCCAAGGAGTTGGCTACTGAAATGTTGCTGGCATTACCAAGGCTGGGGCTGCTGCAAATAAGCAGGCAATGGCAATGTGGTTGCTTGGCCACTATATGCTCCTGTTGTGCCACTCCCTCCCCTCTCCAACCCCCCTAACTCCCAG